GGGCATAGTGGCTCACGCCTATAGTCCCAGCACTGGGGAGGCTAAAAACAGGAGGATCACTATGAGTCCAAGAGAGATCCTCTAACAACTAAATACATTTTTTAAAAAATGAAGATATATAATATTTTGTTCATCTACAAATATGAACTTAAGATAATGAAAAAATGAAATTTAAGACAAACAGGCCATGCAGAGTGACCCAGAACAGATCATAAAGAATTATATGGGCTTGGGAGATAGGTCGGCAGTCTAAGCACCTGCCTGGCAAGTGCGAGGACCCCAGTTCAATCCTTGGTACCACATGCCGTGCTGACCCCAAAACTGGGCATGATGGAGTATGCCTGTTATTTCAGCTCTGGGGAGGCTGAGACAGGAGGGTCACTGCTAGTCTGAACTGTATAGCGAAACCCAGTATCAAATTAATTAATTAATTTTAAAAAGAATTAGATGGATGAGTAGACTCTTCTGTTTCTGTTTTGTTTTTGTTTTTTTGTTTTTGTTTTGTTTTGATTTGTTTTTGCGGAACCAGGGATTGACCTCAGGCCCTTGCGCCTGCCAGGGAAGTGCTTATTCCACTGAGCAATCTCCCCAGCTCCGACTCTTCTGTTCTGAAGGGAAAATATTTAATGCTCTTACACATATATTCACACATACATCAATGTAACAATCTTACAAAAAAAAGTTCTTTATCAGATTCAAGTGAGCTCAGAACTTCTTTAGTGATCACTTCAGATAATCACAGTGAGAGAAGATAGCCACCTTTGTCTTCTCTTATCTAAGTTATATAAATAGGGTGTTTTTCCTGTTTTTAAAGAAGTCTGTACAATTACATTTAAAGCATTTGCTTCTAATATGAACTTTTAATCACTTCCTATGTTCCCCCTGATTCTGAAGGTCAAAATAAAGAGCATGCTTAATGAAGCAACACTAGCTACTTTCTTCAGAAAATTCAACTCTTCAAAAGTATTCTATAACTTTATTACATAATGTGTATGGTTTAAAATTAGAGACTAGAAACACATCAGTGATTTCTTTGTAAAGAAAACGTGTGTGTTCATACCTGACTTGTGCAGACACTGCGTGTCTTTCTTCAATTGTATCACCAAAACCTCCCACACTGTAATTTGAGCACTGGGGAGGCTGAGATAGGAAGGTCACTGCTAGTCTTTCTTTCCTTATTCCCAGGGCACAGGCACTGTGTTAAGGGCACTTGGGAAGCTCATGTGGGGTTGAGGAAGCCTTTGATCTTTAACATCAGATGCTTCAGTGGCCAATGCCAATGTAGCACAGAAAGCAACTGATCAAAGATAAGTCCAGTTCTCTTTTTTCCCTAGCACCTAGAACAAATCTAAAAGTGAACTATATAGTCAGAAGATGGCAGTTTCCTGACTTCTGAGCTTATGAATAAAGTTCCCCATTTTTAATTGGTCAATTGGTTCTTAATGTCCTCTCTCCTTTTTCCTTCCTCTCTTCTCTTGTCTGTCTGTCTCTGTCTCTGTCTCTGTCTCTGTCTCTGTCCCTGTTCTGTCTGTCTGTCTGTCCCTGTCCCTGTCTGTGTCTCTCTCTCGTGCCCCACAAACAGCACACCTCTTATGGCTCTTCCATCAGTGGCTGCTATTCCACTGCTTCATTCTCTGTATTCTACTTTCCATTGTCTCTTTAACCATTATATTCTCTGCTTCTTCATGATTCTTTTTCAGATTCTTTCCTTAACTGCACTATTACTTTCATTTTATTGTTGTTGCTGACATTACCAATTAATGAAAATATTACTCCTTCCAGTTCTTTGGCTAACTAATCTGACAAAACTTTCACTAATGTAACTTGAAAATATCATTCCACTGTTCTGAGTTCTACTACTAGATGCACACAGGGTGCTTCTGCACCCCAAAGACTACATGAGGAGACTAAGGAAAACAAAAACTATTCCCTGTGCTTGCTGAAGGTTATCAAGTCCTAGCCTCCAGAACATGAAGGTCCATCCGTAACAGCTTAGCATTTACATTCTACCTCCCTTTAGCCAGACTGTGTAAGACAAACAAAAATGTCTTCATAAGAGGGAACTAATTTGGGGAGTTAATACATCTTTACTAAGGCTTAATAAGTGTAACTATATAGCTATGAGAGGTCATATAATGCATTTGGCATTTTAGAAAATAATACCATTGACCATACACCAATAAAATTGTGTCATACATATTTTTAAAGAACACCATGCCCCATGTATTATAAACCACATGTGACAAAGGTGAGAACATGGGAATGCCTTCAGGGGACCGAGAGCAAGGAGGCAGGGGGCCAGGACAGAAAATGGGTCAAGGAATGATGCACCAGGTATAAGGTCCTAATCACCTCAATGAACATAGATATGATATACCATCAACATGAACTAAGATTGGTAACAGTATCAAGAATGAAAAGGGAAAGGAGAACTACAGGAGGACAAAGGGAGCAGCAGAGAAAGACATATTAAAAAACCAAGATAGATAGATAGATAGATAGATAGATAGATAGATAGATATCACCTCCCCAAGAGGACTGCAAACTGCATGTATTACAAACATATACTATTAAAAGAAAACTTCTGGGGGCCAGGGATATATAGCTCAGCAGCATAAGTGCCTGCCTGGCAAGTGCAAGGTCCTGAGTTCAATCCCTGGTACCGTCAAAAAAAAAAAAAAAAAAGGAAAAAAGGAAAGAACATTAAATGGTAGATTATATAGCAATTTGCATATGTTTACATAAAGTGCTTGCTTTTCAAGTTAAGTTATAGGTAGATAACTTATTATAATTTAGTGTTATCACATACCCACCTTTTTATTTTTAAACATTATCTTGAATATTTACTTAACTTTTTAAATATAAAATAACATCAAACTTATAAGAAAATTGTAAAACACAGTTATACTAAAAAACTTCTATTTTTTTTTTTTTTTCTGTATTTCTAGGGACGGGTCTACAGGGTGTTCAGGGTCTCACTACTAGATTGGACGCGTAGTGATTCTGTTTACAGCCTCCCAAGAGCTGGGATTACAGGCATGCGCCACCACACCCAGTCTCAATTGCCAGCTCAGCGTGCCCCAGGGGCAGGGCTGGCATGGCAGGCCTGGGGATCAAATCCTTGACCCCTGAGCCTGTTTGCAGGCACTTTAATCCACTGAGCTATTTGGCCTGCCCTAAAAAACTTCTATTTAAAAAAAAAACTAAAAACTTCTATTTCAGCTTCACCCAGATCCCTAATGGTTAGAAATTTGCATACTTTTCTTCCTCTTTTCCTCCCCACATACACACACATATGTACACATACACATGTATGTATGCATATCCCATACTCAAAAACATTTTGGTTTATTCTTTCTGAAAACAAGAATTCTGGCCAATATAATTAAAATATATGCTTTGAAATCAAGAAATTAATTAAATACAATAGTGCTATTCAATACAAAAATCCTATAAGTTGCTTTTGGGAGTGACCTGAATTTTGTATTTATGTGACTTCAAATATAAAATAATGCCAACACAAAACACAAATAAGTGGAAGTAAAGTTAATTTTACATTTTATTTTGCTACCATTCTCAGTTTTATGTTTTACTTTATTTAGTTTGGATCTTATGAGTTTTACTAGCTTCAGTGACAGTCACTTGTTCCTATCTGGTCCAGGATCTAGTGTAGACACATATGATACATTTACTGTTCTTCAGTATCCTTAAACCTGGAGAATTTCTTCAGCTTGTTTCTACCTTTCATGGTCAGAACAGTGCTGAAGAACACAGGTCTATGTAGTATATACAGCAGCCCTGAGCTTAGGACTCTCCAGTATTTATTGACAGCCAGCATTCACCTGATCTTTTAGTAACGATGCACCCCGCAAATAATTCTCTGCAGCAGAACACTGAGGCAGCACACAACATGAACTGCCATGTGGCAAAGCTGGTATATCTGCAACAATGCCATTTCTCCTTGCCTCCATATAAATAATTTTTTCTCCATATTTTTAAAATTTGTTTATATCAATAGGGACCAATGAATTTCTGTTTTGTACAAGGGGTTATAATCAATTACTATCATTTGTAGCTAATGTTCAAATTGTCATTTTGTCTGTCATTTTGATGGGTTAACCTTACTGATATTAACAGCTTCAACATTTTTTTTACTCCCTGGAACAGAAAATGTTCCTGACTCATTTTAAGGATTTCTTAGTCTAATCCTTGAGTCAGTCCAATTTCCAAGGAGTTTTGGTGCTGCTTAGGGGAGTGTGATATTTAGTTTTGGTGCTGCTTAGGGGAGTGTGATATTTAGGGTCTTGCAGGAAACAGAGCTAGGAAATATGTGCACAGACACATTCATTATTGTATGGTACATTAACCTACATATATTTTTAAAACATGATTTATAATAATACCCCTGATTCCAAATCAACACTGCAGAGATTTTCCATGCCTTCCCACTCTCCATGTTTATTAAATCCTTCTTCAACAATGAGAAGCACAGCTCCCACTGTCCTTAATATATGTACTCATTTGCTAAATCAATGGACTTATTTACTTAATGTGACAAATCTTTCAGCCACACAGGCTCTCTCCACTGGAGTCCTCATCCCTTCTTTCTTGTCACCAGTATGTGATACTTCTGTGCTTGCAAAAGAAAGAAGGAAAAGTAGAAAAGCAAAGCAGGAAAGGAAAGGGAAAGAGAAAGGGAAAGGGGAAGGGGAAGGGGAAAGAAAAAAAAGAAAAAAGAAGGGCCAACCAAATAGCTCAGGAGAATAAAGCACCTGCTTAGGCAGGCACAGGGGCTGGGGTTTGATCCCCAGCTTGCCATGCCAGCTGAGGTGGCAATTGAAACTGGGCATGGCAGCACGCACCTGTAATCCCAGGGGGTGGGAGGCTGAAAAACAGGAGGATCACTACAAGTCAGATCTGTGTAGTGAGACCCTATAGACCCTGTACTAAATACATGAAAAAGAAAAGAAAAAAGGGGAACAAAAAAAGCATATACTCACTTTTAAAACATCTTCCACAGCCATCTTCCCTTCATTTCCTAGTAAAATAGTGTATGGATAAAGCCACTGGATTGCATGTTTGATTGATATCATAGGAAAGGAATCCTATTTAGGAACAGAAATATATAGAATGAAACAACATTCAAAATAATCACAGAAATTTTATCTGAAATGTATATACACCATTAAAATTGCTTTATTAATACCATAGTATCTTGGAAGCATAAAAAAGCAAATAGTATTTCCTTTCTCTTCCTGTTCTCCACCCTCCCTCTGGGTAAATTCCTACACTTCAATCTTTCATCTATGTCTTGATGCTTCTTAGAAGTTACATACACACAGGCATTTATTTATGTAAGACAGCACCATGCAATTCACTGACAAAGAGTTCCACGGGCAATGGGACAGGGGATTTGGAAGCAAATAAGGCACTATGTCAACAATTAGTGTTTCTAGAGGAAAATATTATGGATATTCATTTTGCTATTTTCAACAAAAAGTTTTGAACCAAAACAAAAAGTAAGTATAAGATTTGATAAACAGTAGAAGAAATGCAGTCCTTCATGTATAGAATAATGTAAACACCTAAATCACACTATACACTTGCATGGGAGGCTGAGGCAGTAGGATCATAAATTTAAGCCCAGCCTCAACAATCTAGTAAAATCTTGTCTCAAAAAAGAAAAAACTACAAGGACTGGAAATGTAGCTCTGTGCAAAGATCCTGGGTTCAATCCCCAATACTGCAACGTGGCAAGCAGAAATACCAAAATGACAACAAAGATTTGAAGACAGATTTATTTTACATCAATGGGCACTGATTAGGTTCATTCCCAGAACCTCCAGTGGTCAAGGGCTTTTATTGGATAAGGAAGTGCAGAGGCAGGATGGCTTGTCAATCAGGGATTGGTTGACATAATCTGCATCACAGTGACTAGCTATTTTTAAGAAAACAGAAGCAATGGGAACTGGGACAAGAACAATTATCTTGGCAACTAAGAAACTGAAGTACACTGTCTGTGTGGCAGGCACATTTTCTGTTACAAGGCTATAAAAAAATTTAAAGGAATCTCTCGTCAAGGGCATAGTATCTCTGCTACTTCAGAAGGCAGGCTCCTCAGCAGTGTCTCATCAAATATTAAAACACCCTCCCCTAGTTGAGCTTTGCATCCAGGCCTTCCTGGCTTTCCTAGCCATTGATGAAGGTGTCTTCCTCTAACATACCCCTTAACATATCACCTTGTAACTACCCATTCCTCATCATAAAATCCAGGCAACTTCCAAACCCAGGAAAATTTCTTCACAATGTGATTCTAATCTCAGTATTACTCTCCACCACACACATACTTGCTCTAGGGATGCAGCTTATTTTCATTCTTCAAAGATACCAGCCCCTTCTATGATTGGACAATTTCCTCTGCCTGGAAAGCCTTCCCATCACTCCAGACAGGACTTTCACCCCCTTTATGAAAGCATAGTGCACAGTATTGGTGCTGCAAGAAATCCCTCAGGCCAGGGCAATTCTGAGGCCGACCTCACTGCAGGACACATCTTGCTGGATTGAACGGAGTCTTCTTTACCTCTATGTAACTTTCATGAAGTTACATGTCTATCATTTCCATCCCAAAGCTACAAAATCATTAGGGACTCAGAACATAGCCTTTGTCTCTGTACTCTTTACTGTACTGCATAGCAAATCAACCTCAGGCATTTTATAGAAGAATATGAGAAGGCTGCATGCAGTAATTAATCCCCAATGATTAACTTTCAAATTTTCTTGCTACATTTGGGTGTATCAGTCATTGATTTATTTAATACATACCAGGATTTTAACTGCAGCTGGTAAACTATCTAAAGGAAAATCTGGAAGTCCAAGAGTAGAAGATTCTTGGGAACAGAGAGTTGTGGCAAAGGACAACAGCTGAGAAACTCTAAGGGGAAAAAATTATATTTTATTCTAAAGGTTGTCAAATATAAAATGTATAAGCACATTTAAATAGAAGATAAGTATGCAAATTTAATTAACCTAAAATGCCCATTGTTCTTGAAGAACAATACCTCCATACCTCAATGTTGCATTTAGAACTCAGAGGCTGATTAGCACACAGTATTCCCTAAGTCTATCAAAACAGATGAGACTTTTTACCACCTAATCCATATCTATACTGCTAGCCTCATTTCTTAACTTTTTGAATCCCAAACCTAAGATCTACCCACTAAAAACTTTTCATAGCCCCAGAAACAAGGGATAAACTCTTGTATCTTGTGTTTTTTTAGAAAAATCCCTTAGAATTCCTTGATTCTATTCTTTTTTTTTTCATAATTTTATTTTATTTTATTTCCATAATTTTATTGATAAACAAATAGCAACGAGACAGTTTCAAATCAAATCGGTAGGATAGTTTCAATAATTAACAAACTGCATTCTTCTTAGTGGTTAATTGCTGTGGAAGATGCAGACTTGAGATCCTATTTACAAACACCATTAGAACAAATCATTCTATTCATTAAGAGAATGTAACTATATATCTATCCTAACCACTTGGAATACACAGATACAAAACGGACATTCATCTGTATACCCTTTTTTTGTTAAGTTCTGTTATTTGAATATTATAGGTGTGTAAACTCAGCAAAATATTCTAAAAGAGTCCAGTAGACCATAATAGCCTTGGGTCTTCTGTTTAACTGGCAATGTCAGAAATTCTTGACCTGAGTCCCCCACAGCTCAACATAACAACATGGCTTTACTTCCTATATTTCGTTTTCATACTTTTCTACTGGATAGTTAAGACCAAGGTAAAGCAGGACCTATGCAACAAGAGTTGTAGCTTTGGGACTGATAAGGTAAGTGAAATCCCCTCAGGATTTATCCTGAGATCCTGTACCTCAGATTATAGAACCTTTGTCAGTGTCAACCATGTGGATGAGTCACGGCCATTGCTTGGACAATGTGCTCTCTGTGAAAGCCTGAAAGAATGTTTTCTCTCCATGTGACTCTCCTTAGGCACACTCTACATCATCGATCACTTTCCTCTTTGGTCCCTTAATCTCCTTGATCAGAAAATTTGGGACACTACCGAGTTACATGACGTTACAGTCCAAGTTCTCATATGTCCTGAGTCTTAAATGACCTTAGAAGGTTAGGGCCAAAACAATGGCTTTCCTTGCAGCCCTCCTTTTTCTCTAATTTTGTTCTGCAAACTTAGGTTGTTAACCATCCAGAAGACAAGTTATTTTTATTATCAAACAACTTATGCTGTTAAGTTTAACCTCACTATCTATCTGCATATCAAACATCTTAGGCATAATATGGAACAGGTATTTTTCATCAAGTATTGATATGTTGAACTCTATGTCCCTACAGAATATGATAAAAAAA